AGAACCTCTGAAAAAAAAAAAAAAAAAGAACAGAAAATCACGCTGGGTGCGTGAATGCCCAAAATTCTGGGGATTTTGGAGGAGAAAGGATTGCAGTGTGGGCATCCCCTGGGTAGCACTTTCTCACTTTCCCTCTCACTGACTCTCTCCTGTGAGTGCATGTGCCCCATGGCAAAAACCTTAGATTTTTTTTTTTTAAAGTAAGGAAATCAAGTATCACAAAACTCAGAATAGTAGACTTGAGAAGGAATGTGAGAGTGCTTGGGAATGTAGTATCTCAGTTTGCTACTATATATGAGTGTAAGTATTTTTAAATACAATAAAGAAATAAATAAAGGACCCTGTGCTTATCTCAGAGTTGCTGAAAACACTTCCACTGAAACAATGGCTGTGACTGCCCTGCGAGCACTGGCTGGTGGCATGACTCACCGCCCTTATCCCCAGATTTCTGGAAAGGTTGCTGCTTCTCCCATCTCGAGCTCTCTGCCCATCCCAGTCCAGGACCTCACGCCCTCCCCAGCCTTCTTCATCTCATTCTCCTTCCCAGCACAGTTGGACCCATGGATCCTGTTTCTCTGCTAGGATCTCCTTGTCCATCTGTATTCAGGGACGAGGTGATCTATCCCACCTTCCACCTGAACTGAGCTTTCCAGGGGTGCCTCTCCCCCTCCACGGCACCTCAGACAGGTGTGCCAATGCAGAGCTCTGCAGGAGATCTGGGGCGCAGGGCTGGAGCTCTACACTCTTCCTGTCCCCTCACCACCCTGTGCCCCCTGGAAATCTGTAAGCCCATGCAAGGGCACAGCCACGCTGTGGAGAGATCGGGAGGGAGCAGGTGAAGCCCTCATGTGGAGAAAACTGCTGGGTGACCTGAGAGAGTCAGTCACCCGTGGTGGTTTCAGTTCTCGGACACACCCAGTGCCAGCACTGATCCCAAGACCCAGCCCATTCTGACTGTAAAGTCAGTCCTCTCAGTCATGAAAGAAACTTGCTGGTCTTCCAGACCAGGGCTCCAGGACACCCCTCGGGCTGTGTGCTTCCAATCAACAACAAACCTCCAACCCCCACCTCCACTCTCCGGGGCTGTGAAGAGAAATCCTGCCCTGTGAGATCCTGGGAGAGAGGAGGGAAAGAAGGCTCGACCAGCCATCAGAGCATCTTCACAGCCTGACTCACAGGCGGTCACAAGCCCAGCGGCTGATGCAGCAAAGAGGACAGAAAAGCAGTGGCACCATCATAAGGGGCCCCCGCACAGCTTCTGGGGGTACATCTGAGGGTGAACTGGGGGAGGGGAGGGAGACCCACAGGAGACCAGAAAAGGCGCACTGGGTGGATGGGAGGGAGGCAGTGGAGGAGTGGAAGGAACAATGGGAGGAAAAGGAGCATTCGGGGAGTGTGTTATGTCTGCGGATCCAAGAGAATGTCTGGGTCTCCGGTGAGCTCCAGATTCACCCTAGGTCTGCTGCTTTCCTTCCCAGGTGCGGCGCTTTGCACTCATCCCCTCATCCCAAAGCTGCCCTTCATTTCCCCCAAGGACAGGGCTGCTCTCCTCCCCTAGCGACCTTGATGTAGAGGTACAGCCTGATGGGGACTGTAAAATGGCCCCACCCCCACCCTCGTCGCTTCTTCCCGGGAATCCCCAGCAGTGGTCGGCCCCCGCTTTGCCGCCCCAGTCGCTCTCATCCGTGGCGCTGTCCCGCCACACCCCGCTTTCAGCACCAGGGACAGCAACCAGAGCTGCGGTCTGGAACCCCCACCTCCGTACCCCAGTCTGTTCCCGGTGGCCTGTCCTGGGCTGGGGGTGGGAGACAGCAGAACCTGACCGCTCGCTAAGGCTGACCCCGAGTCTCGGGATATGACATAATTTCCCAGACTCGCAGCAAGCAGGGCCGGAGGAGGCAGGGGTCTCCATCTCCAGTAGTCCCTATGGTCCCTGTTTGCTAAAACTGGAAATTCAGGTCTTTGCAGATCCCCTGATGTCTGCTTGCCTCTTCGGGCGCCCCCAGCCAGACAAGTCATAGAGGATCTCGGCTTAGGGATACCCCGCCCAGGAATTCCCAGGCTAGGCTGGGGGAGGTGACTCTCCCTTCTCACTAGGGGACCCCTGGATTGGAAAGGAAGTGACCCTGGAAAGCGGGGCGGGCCCATCCCCCATGTCGCTGTCATGAGGGTGGGATCGGAGTCCCTTGCCCTCCCTGCCGGGCCCCCGATACCGGAAGTCGCTGTAGGGGTGGATGATCCAGGCCCCCGCTGACTTCACCCGCTCTTGCTCGATTTCCACTGCTTTGTGGCTGCCAAACACCCGAAGGGAGAACTTGTTGACCGTGGGCTGGAGCAGCGTCCCAAGCTGCCTCCTTTTAGGTTCAGGCCCAGACCCGGGGAGTGGACCCGAGGCCGCGGTTGCAGGCGCTGGAGCCGCGGGGGCCCCCGCCTCCCGGCCGCGGGGCGCACCCTCGCCGTCA